CCCCCCCCCACAGTCACATCAGTCTCTGTACAGAGGAGCTTACACTCTAATTTCCCCTCCCCCACAGTCACATCAGTCTCTGTACAGAGGAGCTTACACTCTAATGTCCCCCACAGTGAAATCCATGCGCACAACATTTCAGATGTGGATTAAATTTGAACTGGGTGCAGAGGGGGCCCCGTGGGCATTGAACCCGCTGCTCCAGTGCCGCCTCTGAGCCCAATGTATACAGTGACACAAGTTTCTCAAGTGGCACACGATTGGTTTTAGACATTCTTCAGAACAGTTGTACCGGCTCCTCTTCCCCTGATATCACTGCACACTGGGAGCTCCTCACAATGTACATTAGAAGCTGCTACAGGCCCCGCCCCTTTCATTCATTGGATTTCAGTTCTGTCAATCATGGAGGCTCAGCATCACATGTGGGCGGTCTGCATGCAAATGCAGCCTGCCTAGGAACGCCCACTCCTCCAGACTGACACCCGCCCATCAAACATTATATTTGCATAACTCCTCCCACGATCCAGCCCACTGCTTGCTGAGGGCTACTGAGAGGAATACTGAGGCCGGGTGCTGTGATGGTTTCAGGAACCTCTGTCCAACGTCTTTTTGTAATAAAACATTTTAATATTTTCATTCGTTTCATTAAAATAATCACCTGGAGATCCCGCCACGGAGGTCATGGGTAAGGTACTTCCTGTTATAGGGTGACAACGCTCCGTCCCTGTCACACGGGCTCCCGCGTGTCCCGAGATCATCATTTTGTTGCCGGCGAGCTCGTCGTATTGATTTGCGTTGTCTTTGTGTATTGAAGGTGCGGCACCGGACGTCGGGTCAGGTGATGGCGCTGAAGATGAACATGCTGAGCAGCAACCGAGCCAACATGCTGAAGGAGGTGCAGCTGATGAACCGACTGTCTCACCCCAACATACTGAGGTACGCCGCCGCCGCCGCGTGTCTGTGTCACGTGACCGTGATCGCCTGTACAGGGAACATGTATGGAACATTTTCACTCGGAGAACAATGAATGTAAATACAGGAGAAGGGAAATCTTATACTGTCGCCCGCAGGAGGAGAACCACTTTGTAGGGCTCTGTTGTGGTTTATAGTTCTCTTCTAGGGGGGAGTCCAGCGTGTCCTCCTTCTGGTTTCACACATTACAAAAGCCCCAGCGCTGCCGCTTTGTAATACAGGTTCTCCTAAAAAGCAGGACTCCCGCCGCTTCTGTGCATGCTCCAGGTATTCGTCACCGCCCCCCGGAGCGGACCCGGCATTGGGTGACAACACCGCTAATCTGTCATCTGCAGCGGTCTTCGCACATTCCGGCGACCGGCGCTCAGCACAGGAAATGTCCCGGCGCCAGCCACTTATTTGTGGCTTCTACGTGTCGCATTCTCTGCTGCAAATAGAGGAAGCTGCAGGTTTATGAAATGACCTAAACATGTTAAAACATTTATTATTATTATACAGACTTTATAGAGCGCCAACAGTGTGCGCAGCGCTGTACAATATAAGGAAGATATTACAAGATGGTAAGGAGGGCCCTGCCCCTGAGAGCTTACAATCTAAAAGGGAGGGGCCAGTGATACATGAGGAGGGAGCTGTGTGGGGATGAATGGTTGGGTTGAGGTGGGATCGGCTTCCCTGAAGAGATGAGTCTTAAGGGAACGCCTAAAGGCAGTCAGAGTGGGAGATAGACGGACAGGTTTGGGTAGAGAGTTCCATAGGATGGGAGAGAAGTCCTGGAGGCGAGCATGGGGACCCCTCTAGTGATAATAAAGATCTATATAGAGGGATCAGGACATTGGCCGAGGGGGGTGAGGGATGGAAGCCAGTGCAGGGATTGGTAGAGAGGGGAGGGGGATGGAAGCCAGTGCAGGGATTGGTAGAGACGGGAGGGGGATGGAAGCCAGTGCAGGGATTGGCAGAGAGGGGAGGGGGATGGAAGCCAGTGCAGGGATTGGCA